GGTCTCAAAACTAATTTACAATATCAATGTGCACGTTGGGTGGAGCACAGTTTCTCTGATTCGCGAGCCTGTGAGATCAGGACACTATTGATGAAACCTATGTCATCAACAAGAATGATGGCACTTGTACAGAGGCCTGACTCATGCCGAGGATCTGCATCTCAAGGGGTTGTGATGCTAAGAAGCTTTTTGATCGAGTTGCTATAATAATAATAATTGTGAAGCTTCGATGCCGTATACTGGCATCAAGCAGAAACAAACCTTCTGGGCCACAAAACTTGGGGTGGCCGCTGAGTTGGAACAATGTGTGGAATACAGGGGAGTTGTATCAGAAATAGGCCGCCGACGGGCTTATCGGAAAATCTGTTTGAGTCAGAAGGGCCAGAACACAAAATACGATATGTTGGCAACAGAATCAGACACATGAAGAAAGGGTGAGTCTCAATAGAACGTTCCCAGGATGTTGCCTTTCCATCTGATCGTATAACTTCCTATCCCATGGCATGGTGAAAGGGCTAAGAAAGTGCTGCTAGCAGTATGCCTTTCAGGCTCATTTACATGATGATAGGATGATTGTCCGGTACTGGGTCGATTCGGATTTCTAGCCATTTCCTGATGCAGCCTGCCACGTTTTCTAACTTGCAAAACTTTGCCTTCAGACTCAAGTGTTTGGACTCAGGCCATTCTTCTCCTAGCTCAGGAGGTCTTCCGCATGATCTCTCTTTTGTGCAGGTCAAGAGCAGTTTCTTCAAGCAGTACTACTGGTGGTCCTCTCCTCAGTTCCAGTAAGCATGGGTGCACAGATCAAGAGCATGAGGCCCTCCCGCCTAGTAGATGGCAGGAGATTTTGTGGGTGCCGCCGCTGTGCACCCTAGGGTTAACTCGCAGGAGCATGAAGCTGAGTTCATCCAGAGCTTGCCCAGGCATGGCAATCATCTTGACACCTAAAAAGACTGAGCGTGAGCCTGGTTTGAGCAAGATCTGCGGACCCCACAGAGAGTTCCTACTAATTTCAAGCCTCAGGAGCAAGCTCGACCGAGCAGCATTTAATCTGTAGCTGTTTGCGCCAAAGTTCATGGCCTGAGAACGAGGTGTCTTGCTGGATCAATCTTTGGCGGGCCCTGCTCCGAGAGTGCTTTGCCCCCACCGGCTCAGACTGGCAGGGCGTGCGTTCAAAACCAGGCTGGTGGTGTGCTGGTGCGTGGTGTCCCTTTGCTGCGGTCTCAGTATTTCAAAGACAGGATGTGTGACCCAGCACTCACTGATGCCAGGCGACTGGTTCTGTGCGACGTGCTGCTCTTCCGGGCGCAAGCTGCTGCCTCAGACACTTGCGCAAGTGCTTGTGATGATTGTGAAGACGGTACCCGTATGGCGGTCAGCGTGCCAGTCAGTTACTCCACCCCTGGCACTCTCTTAGCATCACGCGCAGTGCGAATGAAAGATCTGCGGACAGCAAACCTTCTCAGTATGTCGCGGATTCCTGTGCTCGTTGCGCTGTTTACTTTCTAGATCTTTCTAGCCAGTACAGTAGGTGTCAGTGGTGAGGATTTTTGTCGCAAACAAAGTCCTCGAATGTTTGGCCGGTACTCCAATTGCACCAGGCGCACGGCCTTGGATTTCGCGTGAAGTATCCTCAGGTTCCAGCACTTCAACTCAGATTCTGAAATGGATTGATGTCACTTGTGTGCGGGCCAAAGGGCCCTCGAAAACAGCACAGAAACAAGTGATGTCCTGTGGTCTGTTCTATGTCTTCAGCATCGGGCGGTGTGCCCCACTGTTGTGTGCTTTAGCACTCGCTCCGCTGCAAAGTGACGGCGGCAAAATCACTTGATTGGTTTCACCGGCAATGATGTATGATGGGACAGAGTCGGTCGAAAAAGCATGCACACTGTCCCCAGCTCGGCTGCTGCAGACCTTGTGATTTGAGAAATTATTTGCTTTAAGCATGCTGCCAGGTGCGCAAGAGGAAATCAGGCGGTTTGCAGATTTGCGTGTAGCTTAATGCCATGAGGACGCAAGTTCACAGCCTGACCTGTCCTCAGGAGTTCTCCGCTGTTGGCGGGGACTTCGACAGGCCAATGTTGTATGCCATGGCTACTGCAAGTGCCGAATGATTGATGGGGACTACGGCACTACGATAGAGGTCTCGGCCAGCCCCAGATGATCCATGGTATTGGCCAGGCAATCCTGCAGAATGCTTCAAGTTGTCTTGATGTCTTATACGTCATGCAGAACGCTTCGTAAGGATGGGATGATCCCTTCGAGGATAGGCGACTGGCCCGTCCAATGACTGTCATGACGCATGCATCGAAGTTGCAAGTGGGCACTGTGAAGAAAAAGGTTCAATAACGCAACGCGTGTTTGACGGCTTCTACACGACACCATCCAGATTCAGAGTTAAAATTTAGAACGCTTGGAAAGCATGCAAATCCGCAGGAGCACTTTCAAAGCTTCAGCTTCCAGAAAGCTGCGGATATTTGAGAGGTCCCAAGCTTGCTAGATGCTGTAGTTGCTACAGTTTGCAAGGCTCCAGGCCTCGGAAGGTTAAGGCAAGCTGCATGCTGGTTGAAGGCCCCTGATACCCAGAGTTGCCCGAGTCTCTAGACTTGCCGGGTCAAATTTGCATAGCCGGCACAGCAAACAGCCTGGAGTCCTTCCAGCAATTCTGCAAATCCACGCGATCAAAAGCTCGTGCCAAGGAGCCAAGCTAGATGGATCACGGGACTTGTGCAGATGTCATAACCCTTTGCGTAGACCTCTTGAGCGTCGGGGCATGAGTTGTCCGTTTCACCCCGACTCACGAACGAAGACCCTCAACCCAGAAGCACATAACTTTTACAGTTTGAGGCAATCATACTCAGATGATGCAGCAATCCATGAAGGGAAGCTTATGACAGGCTCCATAGCGCGCGACGGCAAGTTCCGTCTGCAACAGCGGGCAGGCAACAAGTTTCTCCCGACCGGAGTGCTCAATGGACTGTGTCACCGCAATTACTTACGCTTCAGTTGCAGACCGGGGTAATGACACACACCTTCTCAACCTGTGTCGATATGGTAGGCGTTCAAGGTACACTCGCAAAATGAGGGCACGTAACAGTCCTGTGCTGACTGCGGCTTCTCCAACGCAGGCACAGCAAAGCTCCAAGCGGAGAGAAAGGAGAGCAAGCGGCTATATTGTCCAGAGCATGGAAGCAGAGCTGGTCGCGATGAAGTGGTCTACTGTAGCTACATGTTTCAGACAGTGGAGGAAATTTGTTTCCACAACAGGAGCTACAGCATCTGTTCTTGCCGCAGAGGAGGCTCTCTTGATTGTACAGCAAAGAATAATTACTTCGATAATTGCCGTTTGCCACAGAAGGCTGTCCATAGGATCATTTCATTGTGCAGTTGTGGGCCTGTGTTACATGAATTGGCAAACGACATCTCAAAGAACAAGGACAACACAACACGTCCAGCCAGGTGTTGGGGATAAGTCATGATAAACACGAAGCGGGCCTGCAGCTGGCACCTGAGACTGATTCTGCTTCGCTTCTCTTCCTTTGCTGTGCCTGTACATAAAGGCCTGTCACTCACAATGACATTACCTTCCTCAATGGGTCAGTGCCCCAGCACCACGGCTTGTTCGCATTAGCGATGCTTCACTCCAAGGGCAACGGGCCAAGCGGCGTCATCCCAAATGGCAGACTGCGCAGTGCTGTCTTGTCTTGATAACTTCTTCTTTTACAGTCCTTGGTGGCATGTGGGTAGAAGTAGCACACTAAGCAGCAAGCACATGCCAGGTCAAGGGCGTCCTTTCCCGCATAAATGAGGCTGGCTTGCTCCACTTCTACGCAGCAATATGCAGCATGCGATGCAAGCTCAAGCGTCGAGGCTCTCACAAAGCTGGACCATCCCGGCCCGCAGGCTGAGTGCCACGAAAAGTCGCTGTCAGTTGGAGCAGTTCACACATTGAGATTCAAAATTGTATTCTATTAAGTGAAGTGCTCGCGGTCCGTTTGCAGGACTCTGAGCCAATGCTGCCAGGCAGTGCCTGCTTCACTATGTCGCATCTTAATCTTTGCAAATCATCCTGCAAGGTGCGCCGCAACCTTCCGGAAGTGCTTTGGCACCACTGACCACTGCGACTGGACATGCTACTACTGCTACTATTTTTATTACTATTACTATTACTATTACTATTACTATTACTACTACTACTACTACTACTACTACTAGAGCAGTGCCGTGGCAATGCCGAACCCAACTCCGTCGATCTCAAGATGCTTCTGTCGTTCGCCACAGGAATATCCGAACCTTCAACCGCAGCCCGCACGGTCAAGCCTGCTTGTCCAGACAGCGAGTGGGCATCAAAAAGAAAGCCAGCAACAGGAAGAGATGTAACATGATGGTTCATGAATTCCATTGCTTTTTGTCGATGTACTTTGCCAGTTCGAGCCTGCCGATCCACTTGCACCCTTCCGGACAAGCAATTGGAGCGATGGGGCTGACAGGCCGCAGCAATGCAGACGGTGAGGATCTGTGCCGTCTGCTCTCTTGAAGGCACTCACATGATTTTCGTCCAGCAACACACCGGGGTCCATCGGGTGCGAAAAGTCCTGTACTCGTGACACCTCGAGCCGGACACTCAGTCAACACCGCCAAAACAAAAGCTTGTCCGCTTCCATGCCTTCTGACGTAAAGCATGCATACCCAGAAACACTCAGTGCCGACGGCCTGTGTAGGACCTTGCCTCAGGCCACATTCGAGGAACCCCGCACAAGTAGGGCCTCAAGTGTTGCTGGACAAACTTGGGGGCTCTGCAGCAGCATGAGTGCAGCTCCCCACTCCTTGCTTGAAGGTTCCGAGATCTCACAGTCCATGGGCGTGCAAGTGACAAAACAGACCAGACTGCCTTTGGCCTTTTCTGTCCTTAGATTTGGCTCAGGCGTGCCTCAGCGGAGAGCTGCTTCAGCCGAAGAAGCAGCTCAGTGTAGCTAAGGTCATGAGCAACTCGTTTCTAGATGCGGGCCATGCCTTCAAGAGTTCATATGTGGCGTTCTGCAGCAAGATCACTGCGCTGGTTTGCGTGTGATGCAGACCCTGCAGGGCTGCTGCAGACCCAGAGACTTGGGCTTCCTTTGAATCAGCCTGATGCTTCAATGCGCTTGCTTATCGTTTGGCGGCTTGGATAACATGATGGCTGGCAAGCATTTGGGAGCAGTGTGATTTGCATGGTTGGACTGTGTATTTACTTAGGCACTCCAGGACCGGCATGGCAAAGCAGATGTCCGAAGCTCTCCTGAAGGGAGCTCAGAAAGCCAGAAGTGAGATGGAGGCCAGCGAGACCGACTTGGCTATCCATATTTGCCGAGCCAGAGATGCGCAGATTCACGACTTGATATCTGCGCATGGCTATCTCTTTTGCGCGCCTGAGAATCTCGCATCAATGTCTGGGGAGATGAAGGAATTCTTCGATCGCTGTTACTATGGTGCTTTGGGTAAGCTGAATGGCCGGCCTTTCGCACTGGCCGTTTGTGGCGGCTCCGATGGGGAAGGTGCGGCGAGGCAGATCAGCCGAATATGTCAGGGCTGGCGCTTGAAAAGCGTCACAGCCCCTTTGATCCTTAGAAACGGAGCCCAAACTCCTGAAGCAGTGGCTGCAGCCAAGACCTTAGACACACATGGCGCTGAAAAGTGCATGGATTTGGGAGGTCTCATGGCAGCACACATGCTGCTTGGAGTGCCATAAGGCGCTTCGTTTGTGACAGAAAGCTTTCCAAAATGTCTCACTCACCTCAGCCTCGGAGCACGAGAGCCAATTCGCATGTTGTTCTACATCTATTCCGGACCTGCTGAGTGCCGAGGCATTTGTGTCATCAAAGCGCCAGGAAGAAAGTGCGTGCGGCGCTTAGAGAATTGCTTGCAACATTAGCCATCTTGTGACCAACAGACGTCTGGACGCAGCAAAGAACATTCGAGGCCTCGAGACGGCCGCAGCTGGCGGGTTGTTGATAGCTGGGCGTAGGCTCCGCGAGAGAACGTGTTCGCAGAAAGCCTTTGAACTAGTCATCTAGCCATCTCACCGCAATGCTGCTCATGAAGGAAGTGTCATGCAAAGCACTGTTGCACATGGTTAGTGCTGCCTCAGGTGGCGGTAAGTTCACACCAAGCTGGATGAGAGCGAATTCGGCTAATGAATCCACAGGCGCAATGACAACTGTATCACGTGCAGAAACTGGCACGGGTCCGGTGCACCAAGCCGAGATGACAGCATCCTACCCGACTGAATTTGAACGGAGTCTCGAGCTATGTCATTGACCTTTGCCTTTACGTCGTGGCATCCCAACGCCACCAGTCTTACCTCACAGACTGGCCAAGGCGTTTGTCTGCTTGACGATGCCCAGCGCAAAAGATTCGGCATGCGACACGAGACAGCCCAGCACCTTGATGAGGCCACATTCGTCAAGCTTTTTAGATGGAAGCATGGGGTATCACAGGCTCCATCAAAGCCCCCCAGCCACAACCCACAGCCCTGAAATGGCTTTTGAGCAGGAATGCGGGGTTTGGCTTTGAGTGCTGCATGCTTTATGGTGTTGCAGTTCAAGTAGCCAAAAGTCAGAGTCCATGAAAGTCCACGGAGCACCTCACAATCTTGGTATCAGGTATCATGCTGGTTTCTTTAAAGTTTGATGAGCGAGAGCAGGGAGTTGGGTGGTGGTGCCGTTGCTCCTATTGGTGCAACAGTGGATGAGGGGGGCGCTCGAGTGTATGCCCTGATCATGGTCGTCCATTGTACCTCCTTGCTTTTGGCAGCGTACACACTACATGGAAACGTCGCGCCATGAGCTGGGACATAGCAGGATGAGAGGTCCAGCACGAGTTGCGTTGGGTAAAAGGAAAAGGTGGCCGACAAAGATTGTTGTCTTGTTTGGGCCTTCCCCTCAAAAGGCCGAACATGAAAACGAAAGTAGGGGGCACAACAGCGCATGCAAGCGGAAAAGGAGGTGTCCGTAAAAGGAAAGGGCCTCCTTTCGAAAAGGCCGCCCGCAAAGATCGTACATGAAAGGAAGAGGGGCCCCGACGAAAGGCGCCCGACCAAGCTAACATTTCCGGGCACAACCCCCGCCCCAAAAGCCGCAAAGAGAACCTAACAAAGAGGGCCCAATCAAGAAAAGAAGTTACGCTCGTCGACATATGAGCTACGGTCAATATTAG